TCACCCCTCTTCACTGTTACATTACCTATTTCACAAAGTCTCTATATATACTAGCAAATAAAATAAGCACAGAACAGAAAGCATGGTGTTTATCCATACCACTTGTTGATGATGATCAGGACCTTGCCTGGTACATCTGTGGCTCACTGCAACCAGCCTTCAAACACAGACTCCTGAAAAGCTCATGGAGACATCCTTAGGCTGGGACATACCATTACAGGTGGGTTAGAGAGTGACTGCACAGCACAATACTTCTGGAGCTTTTTCTGGCCCTCAGACACCATTCTAATGCAATTCAGTTTAGATAAAATATCCATCTGAAAAAAAGTCTAATGGGAAATGAACCTTTTTCATGACCCTCAAAAATAAAAAAGGGCATAGCCTAATGTCTCAAGTACGCAAGCTGCACTGACTTCAGGTATAACCCAGCATTATCTATTTACTTATTTGGCTCCTTGCTGACACATGTCAAGAAAAATGGAAAGCATCAGAAGACCAAGATCAAAAAATCTAAAAGGGATCATGAAGAACAGGGTTTTTCTCACTGAACTTTGGATGGCTAGGAGCGAGATGTCTACAACCTGAGCTACTCACTTTGAATTCCCTTGTGGATCCTGGAACCTGAAGGCAGGTATATTCTTCTTTAAGAGGAGATAAAGTTATGGCGGTTAAACTCAAAACAAAAACTGCATTTGTAAAAGTGATTTGTCATCTTTTACTATTTCTTGTGAAGAAGACTAACTGCACCAAGCTTACAAAAGAGTGTCAGTCTCAAACACCATTAAATCACCAAAGTTATTCTCTTTCTCTGCCCCAGTTCACTTACCCAACAGCCAGAGATTAATCTTCTGGTCTCTGAAATTCTTTTTATTTACTTTCTGATAACACAAATTTTTTTCCACAGCCAAAACCCAAAACACTGTTTTAAAGAAAGAGACAAAATTTGCTTACATTTTAAAAGGAAAGCCACGTGGCAACTCCCAAAGAGCAACTAGGAAGAGCAGCCTACAGTGCTCAGGCATCATAGACAGGGGGCATCTGAGAGCTACATATTTACACTGAATGACCTCTGAATGCCATCAAGAAGGGATTAGGCAGCCAGTGAATCCTGAGATGGTGTCTCACAAAAGGAGCCAGCGAGGTTACCACTCTGCAGTGCTTGCCAACTGTAAAGTCCTGAGCAAGCAGAACATGTTTCCACCTTTTCTGAAAGTAGTATGTTTTAATGACCACAAGTCTGACTTTAGGCACCTAGAATCCCATGCTTCTTTACTCTTTTTTAGGAAAATTTCACTATATATTCCCCTAAATCATGTAAAAACACCTGGGAAACCATTTTTAAAAGCTAAAGATCCATCCATCTTGTTTCTTGAGGAGGAAACTCTTCAAGGCCAACCTGATCAGACTTCACTGTTGCAGAAGTGGACACTGAGAGTGGGTAGCCTGGCTTGGCACTGCATGGTAGAACAAAAAAAAAAAAAATTTAAAATATTAGTGGTTTATATCTATTTGTGTAGGTGCAAAAAAATGATCTTCAAGTTAGGTTTTCGAGGCATAAAGTGCCACATCCAAATATATTGTATATATCGAAATTCTTAGAAACAATTCAATTGCATTATTTATCACTTATCAGCTGGGCTAATCATCCAAGAAGACACACACTTCACACCCTCCCCTGCTCATTCCTCTCTCTGCACAGTGATGCTGGGAAACATGCACAGACCCAAAATGTAGGAACTTACATATTTTAAGCCAAAAATATGGTAACTTTATTCATTTTTATGAATCAAGCAATATATGTCTCAAGCAGAAAAGACTTAATTGGCTCACTTTAGGACTCTGATCAGTTTCTCTTGTCCTATATTGGTTCTTTCCAAGCTCTCATCAAAGAACTTTTAATTTTTGTGATGGATGCTATTTTCATATTTTCACTACTAATCATCTCAAGGTTTCTAAGATTTCAAGATCTGGTAATGAAGTGGCTGAAGCATTTTACAAATGAAGCCCTAATCCTGGGAGATCTTTTACGGTTATGTTCTTGACCTTTAACCCATCTAACTCTGTAGATTTACCAACAACAGTGGCCAGATTTTTGGAAAATTGCCTGCTTGTTTGATCCTCCAGTGGATCAAAGGATCCAGTTTGATCCTTCAGCAGATGCATGCCACGCATCCCACAAAATTTTTATGTGTTTCATCCTGGCTCCAGCCCTCCTGCAAAAGTATCCTTCATGCTATGTGGACTATGGTGTTCGGTAGCCTGGACCTGTTAAACATTTATCTCTTGCAGTTACATGGTATTTCTCAGTGCCGCTTCGCTGCAGCAGATTGTTAGCCCTCCAGCTTCTTTCTCCTTGCTCTCTGAGATCTCTCTTTCAGCACTACAGAATTAAGTATTTTCTGTACCCCTGAAGAGTTGGTAACATCAACCCATAAATTTCAACAAAACCTCAGGCGCTACTAGATCACAAATAATTTTTTAAGTATTTCTTCCCTGACTAGGCATACAACCTCAGCAGAAATCCACTAAACAAATAAGTTTAACCTCCTTACACAGAAAATGTGTTCCTTTTAGCAGCTTATTCAGAAGAATAAACTCCTTTACAAGTTATTTTTGGCTGAGAGAAAATAAATTCATACCAATAGATCTTGTTCTCCAACAGGTCACTTTCCAGTTACAGACACTTTTTTGAAGTAGTGGAAGTCATGCCTTTGAAAGGGTTCCTGCTTCATCCCAGATTCATTTAAAAGAGTTTCACATGTCAAATGCAAGACACATTTCCTTGCTTTTGATTTCTCTTTCATGCATTTAGCCTTTCTACTCTTTGTATTGTCTATTCACATTTTTTCAATGAAAGTCAATATAAAAATAAAGCTAAGAAAGATAAATAACAGGGATTCATTGCATTCCTGTGTAGCTTGCTGGCTGCATGATAAACTCACTCAATGAATTTCAGGCTCCAGTGGTTTTCTTTAAAGCTCAAAATACTCAATAATTTTACATTTCTCTTGAAAAAAATTCTCTGAGCACCCTTCTACCTAGGCGGCAGGTCAGTCATGCCAGGACTGAAAGCATCTCCTCACAGTGGATGTCCACTCACTCCAGTTTATATTAATTAAGGGTATGTCCATTATGTTGGCAAATGGTTCTTTTTTTATTTGACAGTAAATAATTTTTCCTGAAGTCTACGGAAAGGTGTTGTAATGTGCAAACACTCAATCTTTATCAAGCACATCTTATTCAAACCTGTCCTTTCCTACCCAAGGATTACGTCACCATGAAATCCGCTAGGCCTTGTCTACACTGGAATGTCACCACGGATTAGTTTCCTCACTTTATTTGCAGCGACTTACCTATATCAAATTGAAATGCACTCGTGCAACTCTGCTATGTCAGCCTAAGATACTTTCCTTGTTAATCATTGCATCCACAACTTTATGCTTGTTTGAATTAGCTGCTCAGCATTATAAGCATTTATCATGTGCCTCAATGTTAAATCACTCAGGTCTATAATTTTCAGCATGTTGTGGCACGTTTACAAGAAACTACAGGAATCCTGGGATGGAGGTCAAGTGAGCAGACTCCTAGGAGCCTCCTGTCTCACCAGCACTGCTTCCCAGCTGCTCTTCATCAGCCCAGAAAGAGCAACACGGAGGCTCTGCAGTTTGGAGATTCCTTGGCGCAAGCCGGGTGGCAGATACAAATTTTCATCTGTGAATTTGGCCCCTCAATTTCCATGGATCAGGATCTTCCATCAGACATCATTAAGCAAGCATCACCACATACAGCGCCTTGCAGGGCTTGGTGGCTTATCAGTCATCATGTTCCTGCTGGCCTCAAAGCTGCAGCCACAAGGGCTGTGCAATTCCCACCTGAGTTGACAGGCAAAGCTTTGGGCCAGGAAGCAAGGGGGTTCGGCCAAGCCACCTGCGCAGTGGAGGGCAGCGCAGGAACCCAGAGACAATGCCAGGGGCGAGACTGCAGCCGAGTATGGAATGGAGGTGATGGGGAAGAGAGGCTCGTGCCCTGGGAGTTTCCCCTAGAACATGTTCCAGGGCAGCACGTTCCCATGTCCCATGAAGGGCACTGGTCTGTTCAAGTGAGTCCAGCAGAAGCCACCAAATAGATCTGAGGGATGGAACACCTCTCCTGTGGGGAAAGGTGGACAGAATTGGGATTGTTCAACCTGAAAAAGGCTTCAGGGTGACCTAATTGCATCCTTCCAGTACCTGAAGGAAACTTACAAGAAAGATGGGGCAAGACTATTTACAAAAGCATGTAGTAACAGGACAAGGGGGAATGAGTTCAAACTGAAAGAGAGTAGGTTTAGATTAGATATCAGGAAGAAATTTTTTACTGAGAGAGTGGTGAGGCATCGGAACAGATTGCCCAGAGAAGCTGTGGATGCCGCACCCCTGGAAGAGCTCAAGGTCAGATTGGATGGCACTCTGAGCAACCTGGTCTACTGAAAAGTGTCCCTGCCCATGGCGGGGGGTTGGAAGTAGATGATCTTTAAAGTCTCTTCCAACTCAAACTATTCTATGATTCTATGACTCAGGTGAATTAGCAGGATTAAAACAGTCCGTTTATTCAATTCAGCACGATGAAACATGAGCATAGGATAAGTTTTACTAGGGTAAAGGAGATCACCCTTGTCAGCGCGTCGGCCTCCTCCTGCACGGGCACTGCACCAGTGCTCCCCATGGCGCTGTGTTTCCCAAAAGGAAGGCCGCGCGGAGGCCGAGAACTCCATGGGTCCCCCAGGCCCATACGGGGGACAGCAGCGGCCCGGCAGAGCCGTGAGGGGCCGCGGCTCCCGCCCGCCCCCCAGGGGAGCGCTGCAACAACGCGCGGCGCCCTCCCTCCGCCGGGCGGCGGCTTGGCCCCGCCGGCTCGCCGTACCGGGGCTGGCGGGATCCTGGCCGCAGCCGCCCGCGGGACTTCCGTGCTCGTGGGGCCGGGCTGGGCCGAGCTGAGCTGGGCTGAGCTGGGCCGGCGCGATGGCACAGCACGGGCCGAGCGTCACGCTATCCCTCACGCTGCCGCATCACCTGCCACATCTGCCTGGGCAAGTAACGGCGGCAACGCCGCCGGGCCCCCGCGGCCCCGGCCTGGGCTGCGGGAGCGGAAGGCGGGGAGCGGGGCGGTCCGGCCGGCGGCGGAGCTCAGGGGCCCCGCACGTTGGCCCGACGCCCTGACCCCCACCGGGAGTTGTCTCTTTTAAGGGGAAGAAAGTTTGGGGTGTGGGGTCCCTTCTCCCTGAGGCCGTTCCCGGCTGCGGCCGAGGTTTTCTTGGCAAACACTTGGAGATGTCGGGAACCGCGCGCGCCCCGGCGGGAACGTCCCGGCGGCTGTTACTGGGCGGTCGGGGCCCGAGGCCGCCCAAACGCGGGGATGCAGCTCCCGAGGGGAAGGTTTGAAGTTTGGGTTTTTTCTTCCGGTCCCAGTAGGATGCTCTGCTTCAAAACACTCGGTGAGCCTGTGTTTGAACGTGGTGCGGTGTCGCGGAGAACAAGTGAAACAAAGAGCGGATGTATAACCAGGTGGATTTAAAATGTATTGAGCAAAACTGCAGCAGTCTGGAGGAAAAGTTTCCAGTTTCCTCTTTCTGACCCTTTCTCAGTTCCCTTCTCTTCTCCCTCGGGAAGCAGAGGGCTCTTGAATAGTCTGTTCCTCTCTAGAAGCCCCAGACCTAATTTCATAGTGGTCACTAATTGCTTCTCAAATTCTTTGCTCATTCATTACTACTCTTTTTTTTTTCTTATTTTCCTGCTCTCAAAAACAAAACTAATCTCTTAAAGCACAACAGTAATTACAAGGGAAGAAATAACCTTTTATGTTTATACTCAGGGCATTTACTGACTGGTTTGTTTCTACCTTTTCTCAAGTCTTAACTCTGACAGAGAGTGTTACTTTTAGCAGTCATGTTTACTCTTCTCTTGGCTTTTCTGTGGAAGCCAAGCAAGACTTCCTGGCTGTTGTCCTGCTACCTCTCCTTTTCTGTTTATCTGTTTAATGAAAATGGAGGAGAACACAAACATAGTGTGTCTATAATGGAGAGAGGAGAGCAAAATCAAACCAACAAGGTATTTTCAATTTGAATCCAATCCTAGTTACTTTCTGACTGTAACAGATTGGTTAGGTATTCATTCATATCTTCCTATAAAAAACACTGGGTTGTTTCAAGCCATTGTTTCATACTTCTACTTCTTTTCTAGAGTTGGTCAGGAATTGATGTTCCTGAGTTTGTACTGGAAGAGATTTCCACACTCTTTCTTGCTATATTGCACTGAGATAATACATTAACATTATATCTGTGAATCTATGGGTGCTACCTGTAATAAAGGTGTTTGAATGCTTTTGGTTTTAGATGTGTGAAACTGTTTAAATTTTGTCAAAGTTGGCAGCTCTGACCGTCCTTTCTTTTCAATGCACATCTTTGCCTCTAGCTTGGAACTTCATTGAAAAACTTCATCAGAAAAAAACTCTTCTCGGGAGTAAGGTTAGCATAAGAAAGTTGTTTAGTTTAAATTAAGGAAAATGTCTTGTCAGTTTTGTCCTGTCTTGTAGGGTGGAGCAGAGAGTATTGTGGAGAGTTGACATAATCTGATGCTTCTATGGTTTGTAGCATAGGCTTCAGTCAAGTAGAAGGCCCACCCTGCAATCAGAATGTACTTCTTGCTATCCTTGAAAAATTTGCAAAGGTCTGTCTGCAAAATAGAAACTACTGTGCGTAATGGAAAGGGGATAAAAAAAGAGATACTCATTCAAGAACGTTGTTTTTGACAAAGCAGAAATCTTGGGCAGGAAGGACATGTTAGCCCCTTTTGTTAACTTGAGCAGTGTCAAAAAGTATATTGGCAAGATATGTAAATAGCCATTTATGGTAAGAACTAATTGCTTGGATCAATTTCATGTTTGTCACTTGAACATTCTTTTAGCAAGGCCTGGACTGTCTTCTAACATATCCATATTTATAATCAGTAACCATATCAGAAGCCATCTGCGTTGGACTGTTAGGTTTACTTGTCCCAGAATGTCTGAAGGTCTCTCAGACCTGTTGGTTTTGGTGTTGACAGTTTGCTTGGGCTCAAGCACACAGTTCTGCGTAGGATGTCTGGGAATTCATTCACTGGTATTAGTGTGCCTTCTTTTCCATGTGCCTGCTCCTCTATTAATCCTACTTGAAGGTCCAGAAGTGCCTTCAAAGTGACATAGATGTGTACAGGATTTGATTTTGATCTGCATGGGCATTGCATTTTGTGGGAGGGGAAAAATGAGGAAATTGCTCAAAATCACCTAGCTGATCAAGTCTTCTCAAATGAGCTGTAGTCTTTGTGACATTATGGTCAATTAAGGAACTGAAACTGGGCTGTAATTCAAGTAAAATGCTTTTTGGGTATGTCATGGTCCTCCACCCCGTGGGCTTGTCACAGTCAGTGGCTCGGGAACTGCACGAAGGGCAGCAACACCCCCAACCACTGTGTGACATCAGTAGAGCTTCTGCTTGGATTGCTTTGTGTGGATCCTGAGCCAACAAAAGTACAAAACCTAGCCCCAGAATGAAACTTGTAAAGGTGTGTAAATCAGAAGCACTGTACCCTGGAGAGTAATAAATGTGACTTACTATTTTGCTAGAGATATGGAGTAATCATTCACTTGCAAGAAGTGTGCTTCTGTGTCAGGTTTGGGGTAACTGAGGGTCTCTTGCTCCCCAGGGGGAAGACCTGCACTCCTGAAATGTCTTTTCCTGTTTGGATTATTTTATGTTATTCTGCTCTGTATCTTATCATCACTATGCATATAACTATTCTCAGGCTGCTTTTGAGTAAGAGAAAAGTATGGCTAGAGAAAAAGTTCTGGTTTGGGGTGGGTTTTTTTTGGTTTGTTTTTTGGGGGGGAGGGGTATGTGGGGGGGTGTGCTATCTGCTGGTGAGAAAGCTCTTTTTCTGTTAAAGAAAAGCAGTAAATAACAAGATTTTTTTAAAAATAATGTAAATTGTAATATTTAAATTTTTCAAAAGCATTGGTATGGTAATGCTTGCAATAATCACAAAAAAGTGTTGATTATTATAAAAATCCTCTCCTTAGGAGTATGGTTCAGTTTCTCTCTGTTCAGACCTTTAGTAACTTGAGTGTCTGTTTATGGATAGATAATTCTTATGGCTCCCAGGACTGTAATATAGGAGATCCTAAAAATAATTGTGAATCATGTAAGAGGTATAGGTAGTGAATTGGAGAAGAAGCTGACAGATCTGGGCCTTAATTCATATCCATGTGTATTTCAGTGTATATCAGTGTATTTCAGTGGTAAAAAACAGGACACATCTAGTCTGATTTCCCCAAGTGAATGTTCGCTGTCATTTCCATTTCCTTGCTTCTCCCTGCCGTTTCATTTTTAGTTTGACTACTTTACTAATAAAACAAAAGAGGAATATCTTGAAAGAGCAATATCTGTGGAGGTGATGAGGACTTCATTTAAAGTTGAAAAGGTTCTCTTGAACTTGGGTTTTAAGTGCAGTACAGTAGAATCTAAAATTATATATACTGATGCTTCTGCATCTTAAAATGTGTTTCTTGGGCAAAGAGGGAGTGGAGGAAAAACAAATAATTATTTTTAAGACCCCTAACATAGATACTAGTGTTAACATGTGAGAGATTTTAAGAGTGTGTATTACAGTAAGCTGGAACAGAAGCTGCAGTAAGGCATAAAGTCTTTTCCTTCCGCATCATATTTGGTCCCTCTATGCACACTTACTTTCAAACAGGGTTTATAGTTAAATGACAAGAGAGAATAATGCATTGTCATTAATATTTTCTAAAAGTTTGTTTACCCTGCTGTTTCAGAAGGGGAGCGAAAGCTTCTTGAAAGAATCTGTGTCTGATTGGAATATTTAATCCTTCAGTTAGCTGCCCCATTCCTGGGTAATGACTTATTTAGTAGCAATGCATATCTAGCAGGAGGGTTGAATTAGTGATTGCTGGTTCATGTTTCAGCTCTGTGGTTTTGGCCCTGATCCTTTTTAAAGCTGATTTCCATGAAGCTGATTACGTGCAGGCTAAAGTTAATCTGTAACACTGTACATTTCAATGACACCTCTTTTGAGGCAAAGGGTTGATTGTTGCCAGGAGAAATCCCTCCTTCCCTTAGTTTTGAAAATCAGTTAATGTGGGTCTTTTGGTCTCCTTCTGCCTTGGGAGGCTAACGCATTTCACTGGAGCAGTTGGCTGTAGTTCTTGGAGGTTGTGAGGTGAAGGAAAGGTGCTGCTCCCACATTGTGTGTTAATGAGCTCTTGGAACCAAGGACCTTGGTTCGGTGCCTTCAATAATAGGGAAGTTTGGTGTTTGAGTCGGGAGATCACTCCTAGCTAGTCCTGTGGAACAACAAGTGTCACTTTCCTGCAAGACCAGACTTGCATTGAGAGATGGAGTTGTGTATTTTCGTATTTTGTTACCTGGGAGAGTTTTAAAGTATTCATAGTGTTTTTCTGTTTGTTTTTTTTTCTCCCCCTTAATACTGAAAGGTCCGTCACCCAGTTATCTGTGTGAACAACCATGTCTTCTGTTCCATTTGTATTGAAGTGTGGCTGAAGAACAATAATCAGTGCCCAGCTTGCAGGATTCCCATCACACCTGAAAACCCCTGCAAGGAAATTATAGGTAAGGACAACTTTAGGCTTTGAAGTAACTTTCTGGTATTTGCTGCTGGAGGAAATTGCTTCGAGTCAAAAAGATATCTGGATACCTTTTCGCCTGTTTTTTTTTTACCAGCATCTAAGGAAGAATTAACTTTAAATCTTTCCAGAAACATACATAATAGCTACACGGTTACATTTCTAAAGATCACGTGTATATTAGTGCTTTGATTATTCATGGTAACCAGTACCCCACGCCTCTATTGATTGTTTTTTAAATCTTGATTGGACGTCCTGTAACTGGAAACAATGTATTCTCAGTTGAAGTACTCCACCAATGCAGTGCAATCTGCTGACCTAAGAGAACAGCATTTAGCTGAGAGATAGTGTACTTCAATCCAGAATCTTGAATGAGTATGTGGTATTTTTTACTTTTTGTTTGTTTTGTTTTGTTCGTCACTTCCTCCCTTTTGCTTTATTTTTAAGAAAATTACTCTTAGCACAGAAATATGACAAAGCTACAGCACCTGAATGAGGATCTGAACTTCCAGAGCTAGGAAATACTGTAGTCTTTATTTAACATAAAATGTCAGCTCTGCTATTCCATTCTGAGAGAAAAATATATCTGAACGATCTCACTTTAAAAACTTACACTGTCTTGTACTAATTAAATGTAGGCTTGATACCCCACCTCCTCCTTTCATCTCTGTTTTAATAGTATTGTCTTAAATAAGATAGGATTCTGTTAACAGAAATAAAAAGTTAAAAAAATTAAAAGTTTTCTTCCTGCTTTGAGTCAGGATTTTGACTTCTAAATACCACTAGTAGATACTGAAGTTGAACATTTTCTGAAAGTGAAAGGACTTTAAATCTCCCATGGTAGCCAATTGGTCGAATCTTAGCTGCATTCATAATATGAAAAGTGCTGTAAGGTGGATTACTAGTATTGAATTGATTGAAGAAGAGACAATACAAGTGCTTCTGTCATCCTGTGTTGCTTTAGGAGGAACAAGTGAAAGTGATCCTTTATTTAGTCCGGCAGTCAGGAAACACCTACGTAAAACAAGGCTTGAATTGCTCCACAAAGAATATGAGGTAAGGACAGGGGGGTGTTATGGCTTTCCAGATGAACTGCAACTGTTAAATTGCTGCATACAAATGGTGAGTCCTGCTGTTTTTAATTTGAGTAAAGGTTTATACTGTATCTGTGTTAAACTCAGCTGCATTAAAATCCCACCTTTTGACTCAGGTTACAGGACAGCATTTGCTGGTGCTTGATGTGGCCCCACTGAAGTCATGGTAATAGTCTTTCTAGGCTACAGGTAGTCGAGTACAGCCAATTCTTTAGTTTTGTGGAAATTCTACCCCCAGGTGGTATGGGAGGGTTTTCTTTATGCATACTGGGTGTAGGGAGCCCTTTGTTTTGTCTTCAATACAAATGCAAACATTTTTTGAAGTAATTCCCTCTTACTCAGGGAGATTAAATTCCTTCTTAAAGAATATTGTCCACTGTAACCTTCTGGCATAGGTTAATTTTTAGTGTTATTGTTTTACTGTTTTCTGAAAGTGAGTAAATGCTTCAAAGTGGAGCTTGAATGCTTAACTCTCCTGCTGGAAAAATACTCTCTTGGGAAGATGAAAAGCTGTTAATAAGGAATATGCTTAGTTTCTTTTCTCAGCTGTTGTTCCCTTAGTAGCAGCAGTGTGAAGACATCACATATTTTTGAAGGAAACCTGTCTTGGGGAGGAGAATGAGGGAAGGGAAATGGACTCTATATATCTTTAACATCGGGGAAGTAAAAGCTATCTTTTATGACAAGCTTGCCTATAGCTCAGGTTCTTTTGTCCTGTATGAGAGAAGGAGTCAGGAAAAAGGTTTCTTTCCTTTCTATTGAATCAACTCCAAATTCACACAGCTAGGCATAGAATCATAGAATGAACTGGGTTGGAAAAGACCTCTGAGGTCATTGAGTCCAAGCCTTGAACCAACACTGCCATGGTTACTAGACCATGGCACTAAGTGCCACCACATCCAGTCTCATCCTAGAAACCTCCAGGGACAGTGAATCCACCACCTCCCTGGGTAGCCCATTCCAATGTCTGATTACTCTCTCTGTAAAAAATTTCTTCCTACAACCTCCTTTCAGGTAGTTGTAGAGCGTGATGAAGTCTCCCCTGAGCCTCCTCTTCTCCAGGCTGAACAACCCCAGCTCCCTCAGCCTCTCCTTATAGGACTTGTGCTCCAGTCCCTTCACCAGCCT